AGGGGAGGAGAGGGGAGGAGAGGGGAGGGGAGGGGAGGAGAGGAGAGGAGAGGAGAGGAGAAGAGAGCAGAGGAGACAAAAAGTCAAGCTAGTATGGAGATGTGGAATCTGGGAGGATTGGGGGGTGAATATGATCAAAACACATTATATGAAAGTCTCAAAGAGTTAGTAAAAGTATTATTTAAAGATAATTTCATCTTGTATCTAAAGCCTCCATATCCCCATAAATTGGCTGTTTATTTAGTTATTGTCTCAACATCATTGAGTTGAATTGCTTTCTTGGGTCATGCTCTTTCTAAATTGTTGCTATCATGAGTGAGTCACATAACTGAAATCATCTTGGAACAGAAATTGACAAGGTTCTTTCAGGAACAATATGACACTTAAGCTATTTCTCTTCACTATCAAGTCAAATTATTACAATATGTAATGCCAAAAAATTAAACACAAGATTTCCATGTGTGTACATGTTCCTGTGTGTGGAAGTGCAGATATACATGTGTCCATGTGGAGGGCAGAGGAGAACCTTGGGTGCTGTTCCTCAAGTGCCATCCACCTCTCACTGGCCTTGAACTCACCATGTTGGTTAGGCTGGCTGGCCATGGCGCCCTGAGTCCACCTGCCTCCTCCTCGCCAGCCCTGGATTCTACCACAGCCAGACTTTCTTGCATGAGTTCTGGGGGTCAAACTCAAGTCGCCATGCTTGCAAGCAAGATTTTACCAACAGAAACATCTTCTCAGCCCAATACATTATATTTTTATTTTTTTATAGTTGGTAAAATTGAATACCAAAATTTAAAAGTGACTTATTCAAAGCCACCATATCTCTTTTTTTCGTACCCAGAACTCAGATATCTGGACCGTCAAATCCTTTCTCCTGTGATTCCTGGCCAGACTGCACGGGTCACACTTGCTGAGGATTTGAAAATAAAAGTCCGAATGATACAGAGAACTGGTCCTAGAGCCAGTTCTTAGGAAACAGATGACAGCTAAGGTATGAGGCTCCTACCCTGGGCTGTTGTAACCAGATTATGTCTGTCCTGGGCAGAAGAGCACTGTGAGGGCTTTTACAGCCTGAAGGGTGCTGAAGTCCTGGAAATGGGTGACTACTCACTCCACTGCCCCTGAGAGCAAGGCAATAATTCCAAGTGTTGTATTCAGGAATTCAACCTAATTGAGATTACTAATTAGCCCATTTCAACCTCCTGGGCACGAACACATCCAAGCAGCAGCTCTATGTCCTTGTAATCCAGTTGGCTTAGGACAAAGTCCCAAGGGGATGGGACACTTGAATGGTCCCTCACCCCTACCTTCCCTTGTCTATAGTAGAAAAAAGCAGATTCTGTGATGCTTACCCTACATTCCTTCTGCTTCTAAAAGAGAGAGGAAGGGGAAGGAAAAAGAAGAAGGGTAAAGGATGGATGGATAGATAGATAGATAGATAGATAGATAGATAGATAGATAGATAGATAGATAGATAGATAGATAGATAGATGGATAGATGGATAGATAATGTGTTCAAAGAACGGAAACTTGGAAATGAAAAAGGAAGTTCTGAGAAAGAAGCCATGATGCTGGTGTGAGTGGCAATAAGAATATCTTTCCCTACAATTGTGAGGGCTTTTACAGCCTGAAAAACATACTCTCAGTTGCTTATACTCAACCCTTTGTCCTCCAGCAGCCTTGAAGAGGGGCTGTCAAATGATTTGCGCCCCATTTCACAGATGAGAGACCCTGAGAGGGGCAGAGGGACAACTCCCAGCCATTTTCTGCTTCCTGGCTCCACCTGTGCTGACCGGGCACATTTGGCAAAGGGTTCTAGGGGCTTTGGACAACCACCTGCTAGGGAGTGTTAGCAGCCCTGGCTCAGATTGGCTTTGGGGTTAAGAACTGGGTGACAATGTGTTAGTTTAAATGAACAATGATTCCTGTCCCTCTCCCAAATCAAAAATGCATCTAGGCAATGATCCAAGATTTTTGCATTGGGGGACCTTTATGGAAGAAAAGTTAATAAAAACTATGGATTTTCTCTTTGGAATCTACCCAGAAGCTTGGAATTCAATCTTATGTAGAAATAAGGTCCTTGAAGATGTAATTTTAAAAGAAAAGGTCAAACTGAATTGGAGTGGGTCCTGAATCCAATGACTGCTGTTCTTGTAGGAAGAGGAGAGGATTACAAAGCACCTAGAGTTCAGGGTTGAGAATCCGTGGGATGATGGAGACAGAGGCTAGTGACAGAGTGACAGCCTATAGATGCCAAGGCTTGTTTGTGGGATGATGGAGACAGGGGCTAGTGACAGAGTGACAGCCCATGGAATGTCAAGGCTTGTTCATGGGATGATGGAGACAGGGGCTAGTGACAGCCCATGAAATGTAAGGATTATTCGTGGAATGATGGAGACAGGGGCTTGTGACAACCCATGGAATGTCAAGGATTGTTCGTGGGATGATGGAGACAGGGGCTAGTGACAACCCATGGAATGTCAAGGATTGTTCGTGGGATGATGGAGACAGGGGCTAGTGACAGCCCATGGAATGTCAAGGATTGTTCGTGGGATGATGGAGACAGGGGCTAGTGACATAGGGACAGCCCATGGATGCCAAGACTTGCTCGAAGCCACCAGAAGCTAAAAGAGACCAGGAAGGCCCCTCTCCTACCTAAAGCCTTCAGAGAGTAAAGAAACCCGCACTGGAGCTTTGATCTTGCATTTCTGGTCCCCTGAACTATAAGAGAATGAACTTGAGTTATTTTCAGGTGCCAGTCGAAGCATTTCATTACATCAGTCCTAGGAACTTGGTACTTAGTGTCTCCTCTGCAGACTAGTCACTCCGGGAAACAAACCGTTTTCATTTTTCTGAACATGTCCTTTGGTTCCATGCACCACACCTTTATCCACCACCTCTGCCTCCTGTGCTCCAGTCCTTCTCCCGTTCAGTGCCTACTCCACCCTTGGGCTTTTGGGTAGCGTTTCTTTGCCAGAACTTTGATGACCCCTTCTCTCTCCCAGGCTGGTTAAAATACTCCCCCCGCCCCCCATGATCCCATACAGTGTTTTCCTGTATTGTGATTGTTACAGTTACCCTTGCCTATTTACTAGACCAGGAGGCTTGTGAGAAGGTATCTTGCCTGAGGCCCAGATGTTGACAGAACACCTGGCATCTATTGGATAGTTGAAATGAGACTGTGCATTTACTTGTAGACAGCTGGGCTACTTAAGACAAGGCAGATCTCCTGTGGCAGGGCAGGAGTTGGAGCTCCATTGACTTCCCAGCTGGTGGGTTGGAGTCAAAGCGGCACCAGGAGGCAGACACATGGCCATTAGGCTGTGCAAAGGCCCCTGGCTGTTTCCCTACAGCTAGTTCTTATGGGCTTTATTGCCCTGGGGAATGAGACCAAAAATTCTTCCTCAGAACTCTTCTCCTGCTCCTAACCCATGCCCTGGGACAACGTGTTCTTCCCAAGCCTGGGAGTGCAGAGGCATTGGCCC